GCATCACCGACTCAATGGACATGAGTTTGAATAAACTCCAGGAGTTGGCGATAGACAGGGAGGCCAGGCATGCTGCAGTCCATGGGGTTGCAAGGAGTTGAACATGACTGAGCAACTGAACTGAGTCACTGATACTGCTACTTAAAATTTTTAAGAATTGATTTATTAAAGAGCAAGCTTCAGGTAATTCGGATATAATTAAAACAAAAATGTGATGCTGATTGTCAAAATCATACGTCTCAAATTGACATGTGAAGGATGTTATCATGTTGAGCACTTTAAATATAAAACAGTAATTATTCGCTGTCATAGTCTATAGATTCAGGACATTTATTTATCTGTAACTCATGTGCCTCTTATAAGTTTTTCTTTATTTGTACACACTGTTACTTGGTATACTGATTTCTGCCCAAACAGATTAGAAAAATTTTATAGATTATAGCTACTCCTATGAAATTGTATCTTAGCAGGTGCTGATTAGTAAGCTTTGATAAAATTTTGATTTAAAGAAAATATTACTGACCTCTTTATAAAAAATGTATATGTATATACACTCTGTCAGGGGACTAAATGTGGATATCTATTTAAACTAAGGGAATGTGTTTCTTTTTCATTTTTTAACTCACTTCTAAGTTAAGAAAGTTTCTATTATATTTGCTGGAAGTTACCATCATGGTGCTTGATAATTTTAAGAATTATATTTTTCTTTTGTCTGATATTTCATCTTCTTATACCAAATAAATCTGATTTGCAGTCTAGTTTTGATTCATTTTTTCTCTTTAGTATTTAGGTTCTTTTGCTTTATTTGATTTGTCACAATAGTTACCTAGCCAGGTAAGAGATTTACCATCAGGAAATAATGTATGAGTTCTATATATTTAGGCACAATTGACGATTTCACTTGACTGGGAAGTTGTGCAGAGGTTTCATTAAAATATGCTTCATTTTTTTCTTATGCTCTCATTTCACTAATTTTGGAAAAAGCAAACATCTTCCTGAAACATACATATTTCAAATGTTCTCTTAGCATATTTTCCTGTGCATGAAACTAAACGGAGTTTAGTTAGGAGTCTATTGCAGTCACCTGGGGAAGAAATAATGGTAGCATAGATTAAGATTTGGCAAAGAGATAATGAGAAGTGAATAGAGTTGAGAGTTATTTGGATCATAGCTCAGTTGGTAAAGAATCCACCTGTAATGCTGGAGACCCTGGTTTGATCCCTGGGTCAAGAAGGTCCACTGGAAAAGGGATAGGCTACCCACTCCAGTATTGTCTTTCCTTGTGGCTCAACTGGTAAAGAATCTGCCTGCAATGAGGGAGACCTGGGTCCCATTCCTGGGTTGGGGAGATCCCCTGGAAAAGGGAAAGGCCACCCACTCCGGTATTCTGACCTGGAGAATTCCATAGTCCATGGGGTCGCAAAGAGTCAGACATGACTGAATGACTTTCACTTACACTTTATTTGGATATAGAATTGGAAGTTAAAATTGTTAGATGTAGGCCTTACATATATAGTGTAGCTTTAGTCCTTTTGAAATTAGCTTTCTTAAAACACTATTTTATGGCTCTTGTTTGCAGTCTTATATTGATGTTGCATTGCTTAGACTTTTTTTTTCTTGTGGCCCAGCTTTATAATCCCTTGATTAAATGGATATCTGTGACTACCCTTCTTTTTGTCTTTAGTGCAACTTTGACTAATTGTTAATACAGTGGTTTTTTCAAAGGTGTAATGAGTCTGGTGGCTGTTTCCGTCCTTTCTCCTAATAGTGAATTGGCTTTCAGGGATAAGTTAGTGGGGCTCATAATATTGTTTTGTTTTTGCCTGTTTTTTTTTTTTTTTTAATGTTAGGTTGGAATTCAGGTGATAATACTTTTGAAATGTTACACTTTTCTTCAGTAAGCATAGTTTCTATTTTATTGTTGAAATGTTTATATACATAGAATTTTTAGTCTTTTAAGAATACCTCAAAGACAGTTTTTTCATTATCTTAGTTGAATTTTATGGCATTAAAATTCAAAAGTTATGTTGAACAAGAGATCTAAAATATTTTCAAAGATGCTGCAGGTTATCTAGCCTCTCTGTATATTACACCTTGACTTTTAAATTAGCAAAGAATGTTTATTAGTTATTGTGTTCTATCTAGGGGTTTTATATTTGGATATATCTGTGGATGTATAATTTTTTTTTTTAAATAACATTCTTTGTAAAGTTTTTAGGTTTTCTCTTTTATTCTTATATGTTTCAACACTTCACTGTTAGGTTGTTCTTAGGATTACTCAGGGAGTACTTTGTTTTCTTACATAATTGGTTTCCTTATAATTTTTTCTTAATTCCTCACCAAAGTACAACTTAAAAAGAAAGCTTTTTAGATGAAAGGCCAGAACTCTGTTATCTTAATGACAGTCATCGCAAAGAATACAAAGATGAAAGTTCGAGTTGTGTCTTGATTATGTGTGATCTCAGAAATTTCTTACGTATGATTATGTTTTAGAAATATTTGCTACTTACAGGTACCATTCATCCAGAGTGAACCTTTCTTTTTCATATGGATATTTAAAAGAAAAATCAAAGCAATAGTTACTGTGTTTGAAAGCCTCAGTAGTTATTCTATCAAGTATATTACTGTTTTATGCCCTACATTTCATTTTATAATTATCTTCCTGAAATTTTCTTAAGTGCTTGGTGATAAAGTGTAATTATAGTTTAAGACAAACAAAAATGAGAGAACTGAAAACATAAAGATTGTTTGCATTTTGAGTATCATCTGTGGTTTGTATTGTGATATCTGATTACCCAAGTAACAGAGTCGCAGAATTACAGCCTTATCTCTTGCCATGAGTTCATCCTTGAAAACTAGGGTCCCAGTACCTATCTTGCCTTTTTTTGTTTAAAAAAAGGAGTTTGTTTAATTAAGGCATAAGGGTGTATTTAGTGAATCCTGTGGTTGTTGATATCCATGTTGTTCTGCTGGAAGTTGGTAGCAGCTTAACATGTTTCAGAGTAAATGTGTATCTGAAGGGTAGCATGACTTTAGGAGAGAATTATTTTATTTAATTACACTTTTGGTAAAGTGTTACCTCAAATAACACATTTCAGAGAACCATATCATTTAGAAATAGTATTTTTTTTGTCATTTCCTTTTTCAGAATTAGTTATATTAAAACTTTTTTTCATAGAAAAATTGGAGGATGAACTTTATACCTTGTACCTGTATTCACACCTGTTAACATCTTGCCACCACTGCATGTTCACACACAGACACATTGCTTTTATTTTGCCAAATTATCTGAAAGTAGGTTACAGGCATCATGGCACTTCATCCTTAAATTCTTCAACATGTATCTACCAAGAACAAGGACACCTCCTACATATTCACCATTCTATTATATTTTTTAAAAACATAAACATTAATTTAGTAATATTATCTGACATATGGTTCATATTCAAGTTTCTTCAACCCCAAAATGTCCTTTATAATGGTTTGTTTTCATCTGGGATTCAGTCAAAGTTCACACCCTGTATTCAATTATTTTGTCTTTTGAGTCTCCCCCAAACTAGGATAGTCCTACTGTATTGCTTGTTTTTTTTCTTTTTTATACTTAAAAAATTTTATTGATTTGGCTATGGAGGATCTTAGTTGCGGCACATGGGATTTAGCTCCTTCACTAGATCTAACTCCCTTTGTTGGCAGCACGAAGTCTTAACCCCAGGACCACCAGGGAATTCCCTCTTGCTTCTTCTTTATGACTTTGAACTCTGTAGATTCATTTGAACATTTTTCTCAAAAACATTTCACCAGTGTTTAATGAATTGTCACAAGGTAAATACTCTTGTCTAGTCTCATTGCTCAGCTCATAAATGGAAAGTACTCATTATGTCTGCTGTGTCTGATTTACACCACCCAGTATGTTTTTTTTGTCAGATTTACCCAAGTTTTGTATTTAGTCACTTTAATTGCTATATAGTATTCCAGTGTGAGAATCTACCATAGTTTGTTTATTCATTCTACTTTTGACGGATATCTGATTTGTTTCAAGTTTTTGACTAACATGAGTAAAGTTGCTGTGAATGTTTCTGTGTATATCTTTTGGGATCAGTAGTTGGATATAGAATTGCCTGTGGGAAAGGATTTTGGCAATTTCTTTATCTAGGCAAGATCTGGAGTGCTGCTGTTTTCAGCTCCCGGAATCCTGTCTGAACCTTTCATAAAATACTGAGAGCATAGTTTTGAGTTTTATTTATGTAAATGTTAATGTATTATTTGATATCCAACAGTACCAGATCTGTGTGCTACTTACTATAAAGGCAGCCCTTGCTCACACAATCCAAAAAGGGAATGCTGTTTATTCTGTCTGCTTGAGAAGTACAGAGCTCCATGTTTTGTTGGATGGGAAATTATATCAACTCATTTATAAATTTAGATGGAGTATCACCACATACAGTATTTTAATTTTTGGATTTTAGAATCTTATTAAGATGGTATAAGTACTTTGTCAGAGATCTTATAAATTTTGTACCTCACAGAACTAAATGAAGGCAGTTTATTTAAACACATGTATGCATAGATAGCTGAAACTCCCTTATTGTAAATTGTGGAACTTGTAATCAGCTGTTTATATAGGTATCTACAGCACCACTAGGGACTGAATTTAAAAACCATGTAAAAGCTCTCCTGTATAAGAAAGATGGCTTCCCTGGGGGCTCAGATAGTGAAGAATCTGCCTGCCATGCAGGAGACCTGGGTTTGATCACTGGTTTGGGAAGATCCCCTGGAGGAGGGCATGGCAACCCATTCCAGTATTCTTGCCTGGAGAATCCCACAGACAGAGGAGCCTAGCAGGCTACAGTCCATGTGGTCGCAAAGAGTCAGACACAGCTGAGTGGGTAGCTCACTCATAAGAAAGAAGCAAGGACAGCAAAACTAGCAGAGCAAAAACAAACTTCTCTTCATGCTTCTGTATATGTTCATTGATTTTCACATATGTATTTTTTTTCCAGTAGTGGCTACGGAGGAAGTAGTTACTGCAGAATCTGTGGATGGTGCAATTCAGCAAGTAGTTAGTTCAGGGGGTCAGCAAGTCATCACAATAGTTACAGATGGAATTCAGCTTGGAAATTTGCACTCCATTCCAACAAGTGGAATAGGTCAGCCCATCATTGTGACCATGCCAGATGGACAACAAGGTTGGTAGAAGGCATTTACATAAATGGTGTTTATTCTTAATCCTCATGAAATTGTGTCATGTTTTTCTTTCTTTTTTTTTTCATGTTTTTCAAAACATTTATTTTTGCCTTAAAGTATGTTTTTGTAACATTTTACAACAGACTTAATTGCCTAATTGTATTTTCTTTGTTGTTCATTCACTAAGTTATGTCCAATTTAGGCTACTATTAAAGTTAACTTGCTTTCTCTGAGTGTATATTAGGTAGAAAGAGGAACTGGCCCCAAAATAATCTAATTGGAAAACGAGCTTAAGTAAATATTTCAATATCAGTATAGGACAGTACTTTCCTAGGTCATTTAATATAGTTCAGATATTGTGTGAGTTTGTAAAAACACTATGTGAGAAAAGGCTCCTCTAAAAGAAGTTGGACACGGTGGCAACTTTTAGCAGCTTTGTTGATAATTGTCCCATTTTTTTCATTTTGAGTAATAAGAAAGTAGTAATAAAATGGATGAAACATAAGCCCCAGGTACATTTTGATCAAACTAAAAGGCTGAGAAAACCACAGAATTCCATATTTTAAGTGATTGCCAAAAACATCTTAAGATCTAAGCCAGGACAGGAGAACCCTCAGGGAAACCCATAGTTGTACATCAAGAAAAGGAGTTGAGCTCAGAAATCAGCAATAAACACTTGCAGCAAGACAGGGCCCAGTCTGAGTGGGCAGTGCTGCAAGTAGGGTTAAAATAGACTAGACATGAAAGCTGAAGAAAGCAGAAGGAGAAGGTGCAGAAAGTTCCTATCTGGGCAAGCATCACCCTGTACCCAGTATTTCCCAATCCCTGCCCTGACCTAAAAGAAAAGTATGTGCACACATAACCTTCTGGAAAATGACTCAGGACTGTAGAGGCTAAGCCTCTTCATGGCCATGAAGGAAGTGGGGGAAGGGAAGGACTGGAGGGAGAAGTCCTCCTAAACCAGGCTTGGTTGAGAGTGGCAAGGAGGTATGGCCCTGCAGAGAGACCAGGTCTCAAGGGAAGGTTTTGTTGCTTTAGCAGTGGAGGAGGAAACGCTTGACCTGGGAAGCCTGGGAGGCTTTTCTCCCCTGCAGGTGCTCCAGGATTTGGATCAAGACCAGGTACTTTCACAAGCTTTAAGGAATAATTCTAACTATATAGAAAAGAAGCAGCTTTCAGAGTATTTGTTTTAAGCAAACAGCATTGTTTCCAAAACTTGATATTATACACACAGACTAATCTCATTGATGAACAAATGGAAAGAAACTCATGTTTTTGGATAAAATGACTCACTGTCATAAAGCTCTCAATTCTTCCTGACCTAATTGATAAATGTAATGTGATAGGGGGGAAAGGCTGTATTAATTTAATAGGACTGCCATAACAAACTATCACAATCTGGGTGACTTAACAGAAATTTATCTTCTCACGGTACTGAAGGCTGAAAGTCCAAGATCAAGGTGCTGGTTTTTTTCTGAGGCCTCTCTCCTTGGAATGGTTGCCTTCTTGTTGTGTCCTTACAGAGTCACCCCTCCGTGTATGTTGTCTGCGACCTAACCTCTTACAAGGATAGCAGTCATACTGTATTAGGACCCATTCAAATGACCTAATTTTACCTGTTTAACCTTTTTAAGGGCCCTGTCTCCAAATGCATTCTGAGGTACTGAGGATTAGGACTTAAACATTTGAATTTTGAGGGGGACACAATTTAGGCCATAATAAAAACCAATAGGTCTTTTTCTGGAACTTGCCAAACTGATTCTGAAATTTATACTGATGGAGGAGGAGGAAGAGCAATGAGGGGAACTTACTGAATATTAATATAAACATTTAAAGCCTTCATAATTTAAAATTATAAATGGCATATGACTATATAGACTATGTAGACAGTCCAGTGAAACAAATGTAAAGTTCTCAGTTCTTTTTGAGTGAATTTTTAAATGTTGTATGATATGAGTTAAAAGAAATACTTTAATTCTCAATATTTTTAATGTTTTTAATTAATAATAGTTTTACTATTTTTCATTTGTTTACATTTATAAATGACAGTAGGAGAGTTTTTAATGTTTTGACGTTAGAAGCTGTGGGACAGTTGTATTTTCCCCAATGATTAGTAAGATTGTTTTGCGTAGTTTAAGCTTGCACAGTCATATTTATGTTCTTGCTCTGTTATGCAAAGCAAGGACAGCCTGTCCCTCTCAGTATATTTACATTTGTATAAATAGATACTAAAAATTGGGGCAAAGTCCAACAACCCAATGGAAGAGCAAAGCTTATGAGCAGACAGTGTTCATAATAGTGTATCCACATAGTGGAATATAATGCAGCTAAATTAAAGAAAGCTCTGTAAGTATTGATGAAAGGTACCTAGATAAATGAAGTGAAAACAGCAGATACTTTCTTGGAAGAAAGAGAATTGCAAATTCATATTCATTTTTACATGAATGAACACAAGAACAATGCATAAGAAACCAATAAAAGCAATTATCTGTTAGCAAAATATGCTTGTTAAATATTATTTTGATTTTGAGCCATATGAATGAATATATTATCTATAAAATTTAAAAGTAGGTGCTTTAAATGATAGTTTTCAGTAAAAAGGCAAGAAGTTGAAGACAAAAATATGGACATTTCTCATAAAAAGGAACTCAGTGTTATGAAATTACTGTTTTTGGAATGTATTTATCTTAGATGAGTTGCATCAACAATATCAAGACTAGTTTTAATTCTTCTAAGCCTATCTGAAAATGAAGTAATGAGTAAATTTTTTCATTTTAGTATTAACAGTACCAGCAACGGACATTGCTGAAGAAACTGTTATAAGTGAAGAACCACCAGCCAAAAGACAATGTATCGAAATAATTGAAAACCGGGTGGAGTCTGCAGAAATAGAAGTAAGGAGTCTTTTACCCGGTGTGTTTTGCTGCAGTCATCCAAAATAAATTTCATCTGCTTTTTTTTTTTTGTCTTTATATTTATTACTGACAGTATTGTTTTGATATAGAATGAGTACTTTTTGTCTAATTTTTTTTTTGCCTTATTCATATAGCAAGCCTTCAATAAATAAATATTGAATGAATGAATGAATGAGTGAAGAATCTGTTTGTAACAGTCTTTCATCATGGTAACATTGGAATGTCTTTGGTTTTTGCACTTCATCCTTTATTTTCTATTAAATTTACATACATCATTCTCACAGTCACTAAAGGGAATGTCACTATATATTGACTAAACATTGTTTTCTTTCAAAAATGAAATGCAAATGTCTGTTTGGCCTGGAGGATCCTCTTTAAGAATGTTGGAGTTTGTCAACTGAGTTATTTTTTTGAAAAAGCCATAGATAACCACTTACTTCACTGTTGAGTCCATTAAGGAAATTAAATGTAGACTAGCTGTTGATAGGGTCATCTTTTTTTGCCCCTGCCAATCTAGTTTGAAATTGTAAACTAGTTTTTAAATATGACTATACAATAATTACCTCATAGATTTTTTTCTCACATTACTGTAAATAGAATTGTTCCCCAAATTTTATAATTAACTAACATCAAAATGAAAATAAGGTCATCCTTGAATAACTTTGAAAGAGCAACTGCAATGTAAAGACAAGAAGTTTGGGTTTGAAATTAAATGAGCTGGATTTGAATCCCACTTCTTGCCCCTCCTGTTAGCTTTGAGGCAAGTTATCTTACCTTTCTGCACTTGTTTTATTTTCTCCCACATTTGAATTTAAGATAACAATTATCTGCATTTTGGGGGTTTTATGAGAGTTGAAAAAGTCAGCCTATTGTTATATTCACATTCATAATATCTAATATATGTGAATAGTAAACATTGGTGAGTATTTAGGAATTCTTTGTTAAGGTTCTTTTTATTATAGAAAAAAGAGTATTTAAAAAAATGTCACCTAAAGGAAACATAATTCTAACTGAGGACAGTTAGAAAATATTCTTGCCCAAATTCATTTACATATAAGACTAGTGGTCACAATCTCAAAGTATGTATTACTGAGTTAAGAAGAATTTAATTCATGGTTTAGCCAGATGTTTAGTAATGTTTAATTATTGAGGGTGTATTGTTTTATTTCTTCAAAATTTAGAGTGATACACTAAAGTTCTTATAAATTAACCATTTATTTCATTGAATGGTGTCAGTATACTTATTATTTAATCTTTAATATCTTTTACAGATAAATCAGTTGATCTTTTTTTTCTGGAATATAAAATGAAAAAGATTTTGTCATGTACTTTGCTTTAACTATTTAATAAAACACTTTTAAATTACTTGAATTTTTATTGAACATAAACTGACTCAATTCAACATTTCTTTTAATTGAAGTACAGTTGATTTATGTGAGTTCACCATTTTTAAAACAGTGAATATGCAGCTTGTATTTTTTATTTACCTAATGATCAGGGAGAGTTGCTGTTTTCTTCAAAGTTCACCCTAATTCCACCTACAGTCTTTTCAGAAACCAGGGAGAATAATTACAAATAACAAGGAAGTATGAGTTGAGGTATATAGATTAACTAGAACCAAGGAGACAGCACTTCAGGGAGATGGAATTTTACCTTGATATAAAGAACTTAAGGAAGTTAGAGTTTCAGCTCAATTTTTGTAATTAGAGTTATCTGGCAATAGAAATCTTATTTGCCATTACCGGCAATGTTCAGGCCAACGCTGCATAGTCTTAGAGCTGCTGCAGAGAGACCTTGAAGCATAGAGTGAGCAGAGGTGGTAGGGGTGGACAGGGGATACAGAATGAAGAGAGACCCCCAGTGTTCTCAGTAAACCGTTTCCTTAGAGTACATGCAGTAGTTCTTTGGATTTTATTTTCATAGATGACCAGTAGAGTTATCTTAGGGGTATACTTTTATATTCCTTTCTAAGTGATTGCTTGGCCAGAAACCTCAGAAGTTTCTCTAAAGCAGTGGTTCTTAACTGGAGCAGTTTTGACCCCAGGGGACATTTGGCAATATCTGCATGCATTTCAGGTTGTCACAGTGAGGGAAATGCCACTGACATTTATGGGATAGAGGCCGGGGATGCTGCTAAACATTCCATAGGGTGTGTTTTGCCTTCTGTTCAGCCTTCATAGTGGAAAAGCAGCCACAGAAAGTTTAGTAATGAGTGGGTATGGCTGTATTTCTGTAGAACTTTATTTATAAAACAGGATCATGTTTGGCCCATGGCAGTTAGAGGATGTTTACACAGAAGCAGACAGCTCACACACCCTGCCTCAGTTTCTTTTTTAAAAAAAATTTAATGGTTAAGAATATGAGTCTGGAATCAAATTTAGGTTTGAATGATAATGTTCTGAGTGTGATTGGTCAAGTTTTTTAACCTTTCAAGGCTTGGCTTCCCCATCCGTGAGAAGGGGAAAATAATGGCTCCTACATTATTAAATTGTTGTAAGGTTCAAATGAGAATGCATGTGAAGGACTAGTACAGTGGTGAGCACATAGTAAATGCTTAGTAACTTGCTATTATTACTATCTTCTAAAAGTTACACTGAGGTATGGTAGAAGATAAGTCACTATTATGATTTTTTTGCTTTATAATAGGTAAAGTAAAATAAATTTGAATATTAAAAAATCACATATAAAACTGTTAAAAGATAATTGCTAATAGTTGAAGCAGAATTTGAGAATATTTGGAAATAAGAAAGCAAATTCAAAACCTTTGTTCCATTATTCTATTGCCTAATTAATAATAATATATTGTTGGGCATGAAGTTGTAGTGTAAGAGAAATATCTTCCTTATTGGTTTCATAGACTGAAATAATTGTGAGTCTCTTGCTCTGTCTAAATCTGAATAAATAGCTAATTTTATAAGGTACCTTGAAGTTTATCTTTCTAATATTTCCTACCAAATCAGGGTAAGTTTTTATCCATATTCAAAACTTTGACTGGCAAAGGATCTTATTAGGACAGGTAAAATGGTAAAACATTTTAATGCTCGGCTGTGTGTTCTCCTACCAGAGCAAGGTGGTCTAACTTGCACCCTTTCTAAAGTCCTGCAGTTCACTGCCAGGGACTGGTGTCCATTGCTTATATGAGGTTGGCATCTTGCCTGTAGTAAGGAGAAAAGAGTAGCAGGGTAGGGCTTAGGCATTTCTTAACTTGGAGATGACGGACACATCTTTCTTCTACTGTACATTGTATGTAATTGGACAATTTGGAGACTACATGTGTAATCAATCACTCCAACTTTTGGTGGACTCATGGGAAAAACTAATGTTGGATCTAGCTTCATTCCCAGTGGAAGGAAGGCAGTGGGATCACAGGAAGGCAGGACTGTTATACATGTTCCTCCTATGGACCATGTGAGTAGTGAAGGGAAGGGGATCTTTTGGCGTTCCCAATGGACATGGGTCAAGGAGAGAGTGGAAGAGACCCTCATAGTGTCCTCTTTCCCAGCAAGCTGCCAACCCCTTGCCTTTACCTTCAGTTTTCTCTGGTTAAGTGTGAACCTGGCCTCATTTTGTGACTATTAGTTCTGCTGTTGTCCCCCACCTCATTCAGAGGGCTTGTGCTTCTGAGATGAGATTGAGCTTGGGCCTGTGCAAGTTGAGTTTTTTTCCATATACTTACTGGAGGTATGGGAAAGGAGTTGAAATGTTTTCCCTTAGACAAGTGTATAAGGGCAGAGTAAGGAGGAGGAGAAAGAATATCATTTTCATTGGACCAGATTTGTGTTTCGCCCTCAATTTATTTAGGAACTTAATACACGTCTTTTACAATATATAATGAATCACAATAGAGAAATTAATATTTTAATGGTTTGTAAAATGATATAATTTAGGAAATACTGATCTAGACCAGCCCTCTTCATTTTGAAGGTGAGGAATCTTGCTTGCTATCATAGGAAATGATAGTCTTAAACAAAGTAATAGTAGAACCTCATAAACCTGACTCCTTATTAAAATTGTGTTATGGGAAAGCTACATCATCTCTGAGCATCATTTTTCTCATCTATAAAATGGGCATAATATCTATCTTAGAGACTTATTATTGGAAATCACCTTGTTAATCAACATATATAATGGGTTTTCAATAAATACTATTTCTTTTATAATTAGTAGCTTTTTAACATCACAGATAAAGATGTAAAGAGGTATGGCTATGTATTTCCCTATTTAAATTTTTCACTAGTTTTTATAGTTGGTATAAAAGTACAGGTACCCAGTTTGGGTTCATCATGGTAGTTTTATTTCTAATTAGCAAATATTTCCTTGAGGTCAGAAACTAATCTTTATCTCATAGTGAGAAGCTCAAAATGAGGGCTTTAATTATAAGGGAATTGGTTGAAAAGGCATGATGTCCCAGAAATAGCAATAGATAGCTACTTTTAACTACTATAGATTTCCTTATTTGTAGGATATATGCTTGAATGTGTTAATGTATTTGTGCAGTTATGAAAAAGAAAACCTTTTTTTCTTTAAATTAGGAGAGAGAAGCTCTTCAAAAACAGCTGGATGAAGCTAATCGAGAAGCACAGAAATACCGACAGCAACTTCTAAAGAAAGAACAGGAAGCAGAGGCCTACAGACAGAAATTAGAAGCTATGACGCGCCTTCAGACTAATAAAGAAGCTGTTTAATTGAAATGAACATATAGTTTGAGTTTACTTTTGCTCAAGAAAGAATACAATCTTGAACTGTACACAATAAGGTGCAGTCATGGGAAGACAGGATAATTGAAGAGACTGCAGATGGATAATTGGACTTAAGCCATGAGCTCTGAGTTCTTGTAACATAAAACTTTAGAAGTTGTGAAATGTATTTAAAACTGAATTCTGTAAATAGTTGGGGTTTTTTTTTACAGTTCCAAATGAGTTGATAAAGATTGTTGAAGAGATCCAAAAACACAATAAGCCACCGTTTTTGTGAATTCTTTTTGATATTAGTATGAACCTTAATTTCTCAGAAATGGAACAGTTTTAAGGGTGATCGTTGTTGATTAGACCAAATGTGTAATAATTATGTGGTGGACTGATGCTGGAATTACTCCTGTCGGTATAAACTTCTATATGAAGAGAAGATTTCTACCAGGAAATCTTTGTACAGCTTTAAGTTGTCTCAGATTCTCTGAAAACATTTTTTAGAAAGCAGATTTTTATATTTGTTCAATTTCAGCTATACCCAAGTAGATTTACATGTATATGAAGCAAATATTTTTTAAAACTTTCTGTTTGTACATATTCTGCATGTTTTATAATTTTGGAATGCATCACTTGCATAGGTATTATTTTTCCCACAAAGATGATGAAAGTTACTAGGAAAGAAACCCTTTTATTCTGTAGGTCCTTGGAACTAAGTAAGCTAGCAGCTGGTTTTATTGGAATGACAATGTTCTTGGAAGGAGCAGCTTACAAGATACCTTGAATTTGCAAACTGCAAAATTTATGCTTTTTTGAAAATTTCGTAGTGGGGACGTGAAACTATTCTGTGCCTTCCATCATGATTTCCACATGAAAGCACTTTAAGGCACTGGATTTTAAGATAATGTTTTTGGAAAACTCAAAACATATGGGTTTCTGAAATACTTCATGGACTCATTCCCCCCGCCCCCCGCCCCCCAGGAAATTATTCTTACAGGAAAAAAAAAAAATTGCTTTTGTATGTAGAACAAGAACTTTTTGTACTACAGTGATGCTATAGATATGTCTAACATAACTTTTACTTCTCCCTGTGAAAGCTGTAAGTCTGTGCTGTGACTGGCTCTCATCACAGTATTGTTGAATTCTACAAATGTATGGACATTAAACTCTGACATACTGTTGCTTTTTTTTGTAAAACATAAGTTCAAGCTCTTTTCTTGGTTTATTTTTTAATGTTTTATTGCTTTATGAAAATGTTTAACCCTAAGACCCTTCTAGATTACCTATACTGTATAAAGAAGCAGTTACCCTTAAAACTGTACTCTGGCCTACTTTTCTATTTTACAATTAAATATCTTTTCCACATATGTTCAGTGTAGACTTATATTTTTGACCACATTTTTTCACACATTAAAAAGTTTGTTCTGTGTATTACGGCAGTATTCCACCCTTGCTGTTGAGTCACTGAGTCATGTCCAGCTCTCTGTGACTCCGTAACTACAGCACACCAGGTCCTCCCCCATCCCCTGGAGTGTGCTCAAAGTCCTGTCCTTCGAGTGAGTGATGCTGTCTAACCATCACGTCCTCTGCCTCCTATTCTCCTTTTGCCTTTAGTCTTTCCCAGCATCAGGATCTTTTCCAGTGAGTTGGCTCCTCTCATCCAAACTATTGGAGCTTCAGCTTTAGCATCAGTCTTTCTAGTGAATATTCAGGGTTGATTTCCTTTGGAATTGATTGGTTTGATCTTGTTGCAGTTCAAGGACTATCAAGAGTCTTCTACACCACAATTTGAAAGCATCAATTCTTTGATGCTCAGTGTTCTTTATGGTCCAAACTGTCTCATCCATATGTGACTACTGAGAAAAACCATAGCTTTGACTCTACGGACCTTTGTTGGCAAAGTGATGTCTCTGCTTTTTAATATGTTGTCTAGGTTGTTCATAACTTTCCTTCCAAGGAGTGAGCATCTTTTAATTTCATGGCTGCAGCCACCATCTGCAGTGATTTTGGAGCTCAAGGAAACAAAGTCGGTCACTGCTTCCACTTTTCCTCCTTCTATTTGCCATAAAGGGATGTGACAGGATACCATCTTAGTTTTTTTCTTAGTTTAGTTTTTTTCATGTTGAGTTTCAAGCCAGCTTTTTCACTCTTCTCTTTCACCCTCATCAAGAGGCTCTTTAGTTTCTCTTCACTTTCTGCCATTAGAGTGGTATCATCTCCATATTTGAGGTTGGTATTTCTCTTGGCAGTCTTTATTCCAGCTGCTGAATCATCCAGCCTAGCATTTCGCATGATGTACTCTACATACACTTGATGGACATGACTTTGAGCAAGCTCCAGGAGTTGATGGACAGGGAAGCCTGGTGTGCTGCAATTCATGGGGTTGCAGAGTTGGACACAACTGACTGACTGAACTGAACTCTACATATGAGTTAAATACGCAGGGTGACAATATATAGCCTTATTGTATGCCTTTCCCAATTTTGAACCGGTTTGTTCCCTGTCCGATTCTAACTGTTGCTTCTTGACCTGCCTGCAGGTTTCTCGGGAGGCAGGTAAGGTGGTCTGGTAGTCCCATCTAAGAATTTTCCACGGTTTGTTGTGATCCACACAGTCAAGGCTTTAGAGTAGTCAGTGAAGCAGCAGTAGACATTTTCCTGAGCTCCCTTGCTTTCTCCTAGATGCAACGAATGTTGGCCATTTGATCTCTGGTTCCTCTGCCTCTTTGAAACCCAACTTGTACATCTAGAAGTTCTCAATTCATGTATTGTTGAAGCCTAGCTTGAAGTTTTTTGAACATAACCTTACTAGCATGTGAAATAAGTGCAATTGTACTGTAGTTTGAACATTCTTTGGCATTGCACTTCTTTGGGATTGGAAGAAAAACTGACCTTTTCCAGTACTGTGGCCACTGCTGAGTTTTCCAAGTTTGCTGACTTACTGAGTGCAACAGTATCATCTTTTAGGGTTTTAATTAGCTCAGCTGGAATTCCATCTCCTCCACTAACTTTGTTCCTGGTAATGCTTCCTAAGGCTCATTTGACTTCACACTCCAGGATATCCAGTTCTAGGTGAGTGAGCATGCCATCGTGGTAATCTGGGTCATTTAGACCTTTTTAAAATAGTTCTTCTCCGTATTCTTGTCATCTCTTTTAAATTTCTTCTGCTTCTCTTAGGTCCTTACTCTTTCTGGACGTGGACAAGCAGGAAATGGCAAGATTGGACATTAACGTCTTAGGAAAAAGTGAGCTAAAGTGAATGGGAATGGGTGAATTTAATTCAAGTGACCATTATATCTACTACTGTGGGTAAGAATCCCTTAGAACAAATGGAGTAGCCCTCATAGTCAACAAGAGTCCAAAATGCAGTACTTGGGTGCAACCTCAAAAATGCCAGAATGATCTCGGTTTATTTCCAAGGCAAACCAACATCACAGTAATCCAAGTCTGTGCCTCCAACCACTGATGCAAAGAAGCTGAAGTTGACCTATGAAGACCTATAACACCTAGAACTAACATCAAAAAAAGAAGTCTTTTCATCATAGAAGATTGGAATGCAAAAGTAGGACGTCAAGAGATACCCGGATTAACAGGAAAGTTTGGCCTTGGAGTACAAAATGAAGCAGGGTGAAGGCTAATGGTTTTGTCAAGAGAACGCACTAGTCATATAAGAAACACCCATTCCCAACAACCCAAAAGGTGACTACGCATGGACATCACAAGATGATCAATACCAGAATCAGATTGATTATATTCTTTGCAGCCGAAGATGGAGAAACTTTGTACAGTCAACAAGAACAAGACCGGGAATTGACTGTAGCTCAGATCATGAGCTGCTTATTGCAAAATTCAGGCTTAAATTGAAGAAAGTAGGGAAAACCACTAGACCATTCAGGTCTGACCTAAATCTAATCCCTTATAATTTGACACTGGAGATGACCAATAGATTCAAGGGATTAGATATGGTAGACAGAGTGCTTGAAGAACTATGGACAGAGCTTCACAATATTGTACAGGAGGCTCTGACTTTGGGGGAAGTCCACTTTTTTTCAGAATCTGTTATGTTGGACTTGTTTAATTGCTCAATCATCTATGCCTGATTCACTGTACTATAAAATAAAAACTTAGACAAGAATTTATAAGTAAAAAAGGGTATGCTTTTTCTTTTCTCTTTTTAGCTTCTGTTTTGAGGTGGGCTGGAAAAGCTTTGTATTCTACTTATTCTCAGTGGTGTTATGGGAAGAAGTTTAAAAGAACTGAGAATAAAATATTAACAATAAAAATTTTCAGAAATCCACATTTAATGTGTTTCTAGCACATAATGATGGATTTATAGTTAATGGTCATCAAGTTGCCACATTGATAGCTAATTATTTCCACTTATGTGTAAATGAACACCTTCCTTATTTTCTTTTTTAGAAAACAATACACATTTGCAGTATTTGTGTGAGAAACAAAGATGCATGGTGATATTAATTTTTGCATTGGGTTAAGGATGTTTCTGTTTATATTTTCATGAAAGGCATCAGTTAACTGATTTTAAATGAGTAGATACCTTCTTGAGCAGCCCTTCTCAACTAGGGTTCTGTGAGAGAATCAAACCCTTGCAGAATGAAGCCCTAATGTCCTAAAGGTGAGGGCCTGATGAATTAATTCCTGGTAATGCATTATTTTCTTTCCCATGCATCTGGAATAGTACTGGTTAGACACTGAGTTCATTACATGCTTGATTGCCAATTACTTAATTAAGACTTCACTGTGTAGAGTTGCTAGAACTCTGAGATTATAAATTCTAGGTTGATCTGTGGTGATTTCAGGAAGCCTCTTCTGACAACTGGTATCTGCAGAGACTGTACTTCTCAACTAATTTTCATTTCTTGTTATTTTATTTATTTCTCAATTACTTCCCCAAAGGGCTTGTGATGTGATTTATTTTTATTAGAAGTTATTTTCTAATGTTGATCTTTCCTAATATCAAGAGCAAGATAGTTTTATATTTACTCTAGCTCTGGATTTGTCTATGATGATTGAGGGTTGGGACTTGGAGAGATTTCTTCTGTGATATTCAAAATAACAGCTGAAGACCAAAAGAAATAAATCTGAAATCCCGTTTAATTTGGACTACACGTTTTTTAGCAAAAAGACCTGTATATAAGAGATATTCAAAACATATTGCTAAAGAAAATCTTTGCCAGTATGTTTCTTCAACATAGTCATTTATGATACTATTTATTGAAAACTAGAATAAACCCTTGCACATAACAGGAACTGATGAGTTGACAGACATATTCACAGATACTTTATGCTGATATGATTTTTTTTTTATTATTCCATACAAAGTTTCTTCCAGATAAAAATCTATAAAATTTCTTTGTGTCTTAATACCTGAAAAGTCAAAGTGTATCAAGAAGAAAACCCTTTTCAGATAAAATCACAAAACAATTGTAGGAACCTTTATATCCATATGGATGGGTTCCCAAGGCATCACTTCTCAGGCTTATATAGCAAATAGAGAAAAAAAATTTTCTATTCACCTAGCTTCTATTGAGTAAATATCTCCTTCCATCATGTCAGATCAACTGAGGAATGAACTAACTAACATGTTTGTTATTTCATTAAGTCATATTTACTGTAGTTGGATTTCATTATAGATAACTAGTCTCTTGTCATTTTGAATGATGTTTGCTGTTTGCTTTCTCTGTGTTAGGTGAGAACACCTCCGTGCACATGGACTCAGTTTGACGTAGGCTCTGAATTCATTCTCAGATTACTCTGTATAATTTATAATGGAAAATATACCTTTGATTCCAAATCAAAATTTTGATATCAATATTTTTGTGACTTATTGAAACTGTTTTCCAAATATATAGATAGTCTTATAGTTTTTTTTACATCATTTTGATACCCTGAGCTCCTTTAAAAAGATTTCACTTTAATAATAGTCAAATAGTGAATATAATTTGGATATGGTTCTTGGGACTCATCATTTTTAGATAAGTATTGTAATTCTCCCCACAACTGCTGTTTTCCTCCTGGAAAAATTCTGACCTGATCTCTGTGATTCTGCTCAGTATTCTCTGTTAACTGCTTACGCAGTTTTTCATTTGAGTGGTTTTGATCTCATGTGCATGGCTAATATGTTTTCTATGTATATAAATAAATACAATTCTAGTCTTATGGATTATAATTACATGGATTATAATTTTGAATTTTATGAATTTTAGTGTCTTCTTTGTTTTTCTGTAAGAAGATATTTTTCTTGTATGCCAGATTAAAGTCAGTAGAGCATTAACTTTGTATTACTATTTTTCATATTTATCCTATACTTGCCATCCTTATAGTCTCAAGAATTAAGTTTAATTTGCTTT